AAATCTTTGAAGCCCAAAAACAACTAAACCTCAAATGAGAACAAGATTTTATAAATTTAACTAAAAATTTCAAAATTAGATACGATATACACTTAATCTTTAAAAAAAATATATATATATTAACACAAACACGGACTGATGGAGATAAAGATTGCGATTAATTCATACTGAAAAGCGGCAATGGCGATGCGTTTATGGATGTGTCACCAGAAGAACAGAAGATTCGAGAAGGTACTCTATGGATTCTTCTTACAAAATTAGAAGCTGCTTGTCGTAGATACATTTTTGTCGGGGCTTCAGCCTTCAGTCTTCAAAGCTGTGTAGGGGTATAAATGTTGCTTCTTCAACGGTAAAACCCTTTAAAATTCTCGGTTATGGAGAAAGGGGTTGTTTGGCAATGCGTTTAGCTCCCACTTAAACTGTCAATTAATGTGATTATTCTCGTATATCCTTATCCTACGAATAATGCTAGCCTTTCTCACTCTCTCTAAGAGAAGTAAGTAGGAGGATTGAGTAAAGCTAGCATTACTCTTATCCTATTCCTACCTCAGAGTTAGAATTGGGCTACTTATAAATATGAAGAGTTAACAACATTTTCCTACCCAAGGTTTGGCGAATCTACGTTCCCACCCTTGGTTTCATAAATTGTAGATTTTTGCCCTTAAATTAATAGAAAACTGTTTAATCTAACAGTTAAAAGGGTAAAATGGTCATTTCAAAGATGAAAATTTCAAAATAACCCTTCATTTCTCAAATCACCCCACCGAAAAATTTCAAAATAACCCGTCACTTCTCAAATTCACCCCACTGGTAATTTCAGGCCATTTCGGCCTATTTTTGGCACAATCGATCCCTCCCGACACAACCATTACAATCCCCTCAACCCCCACATCAAAACCCCTAACCTCCCCACCTGATTGAACCCCTCAATCGTTGATCATTGCTTTTAGTGTCAATCGGCGTTTCATCCAAATTATGGCAGGTTCGGCACCAAAAACCACCACCAAGACCACAAATAGTATCGCCGGCTTCTACCCCCCCAAAACCCTGAACATCACCAACGGCAATCGCCCGCCGATTGTCGCTGCCTCTTCCTTAGGTTTTTGCGTTTTGTCGCCCCTTTCCAACCAAATTCTGGCACCTCGCCAAGGTGCAATCGGGTGGAAAATTAGAGGTTTGGGTGAGGAGATTAAGAGGATGTTGATGGTGGTGCCAAGGAGGCACAATGGTGTCGAAATCAAGCCGGATTTTTAGCTTGGCCGGGATCTCCTCTAGGGGTTATTTGAGAGAAATTTGATATGTGGGGGTTATTTTGAGAGAAAAGTAACGATGTTAATTTAAGGGTGAGAATCTGCAATTTATGAAACCAGGGGTGGGAACTTGCAGATTAGCCAAACCTTAGATGGAAACTGTAGATTAGCCAAACCTTGGGTGGGAAAAGGCGTTTACTCATTTGAATATGATATAATTTTAAGCTAAATGTTAAGACTTTATTGGAATAATAGTATTTATAATATTTATTATTTTAAGATTTTAAGACTATTGGAATAATAGTATTTATAAATACTTTAAGCGAAAAACGTAATTATGGTTGGACTCTCCCTCAGAATAAACATAAATAAATAATGATGGGATGCATCAAGCCATCAAACTTCATCTGAATACTTAAAAAAACTTGGGTGGTAAAATATCAAACAACAACAATAAATGAAACCTAAAAACCAAAACAGAACAAGTGAGATTTATTGGTAGAAAATCTAAAGCTTAGATATTGAGATGTCATAACATATCTTTCCTAATTTGCTGCTTAAAATCTTTTTCATTTTTTTTTTTTTTTTTTTTTTTGTGACCGGGGGTGTCTAGTTGACAACCGAGTAAATCTCCTTAGTGACCACTCCTATTTGCAATCCAAGTTGATCGAACTTAGAACCTCTTGAATAATACACCCAAGAGTCCTAGTTGATTATTGGATCACCCAATGGTGGTTTGCTGCTTAAAATCTTACATACGATTAATTAAAATAGTGGGGTAGAGAGAGAAAAAAGTAAATTTGCCTTCTGTATTTGTAAGACCCCAAATGGAGTGGACCTAATAATTTCAATTTCATTTAGTTTTAGTGCCTCATTTTGAACGATTTTAGAATCATTAAATTCTATTCTAGTTACACACTTCAGTAAGGCAATCTAATCTTCTGTCTGTGAAACTGTGTCTACTCAAAGTTAAAGTTCAATGAAACCTGATTAGTGATTTGAGGCAAGTTTGCCATGGTTTAAAAACTGTCTAACCTGACAGTTGAGCAGAATAAATGCATACAAAACACCAAGGCAAACCCTTTCATATAGTTATTAATATAAAGTTTACATCATTCTCACATCACACCAAAAAGAGATGGAATCAGTGAGCCCACCTCGCCAACCCCAAATACAAGGGACGCCACTGAAACACAAGCTATACTAAGCATGAAAACAGATTTAAAGGATCCTAGTAAAACACATTTATTTTATTACTCATCTGCAAACCAGAATATCTGAAATCTTGTTTCAGCAATCATGGAAGTGACCACATTTGGATCCATGTCTGGGCAACACGGTTTGCCGCACCCTGTTCAATGACAGAATACAAGGAATTATCAACAAACTGTTGCATTTCACCAGAAAAACATTGGAAAAAAATGGACCCAAATACACAATCCAGGCATACTTGAATGCATGTACATCAGGAAGGAGTAGAAACTGATAGAAAATAAAGGGTAATTTGTTTATACCCATTTGAATGTCTTGGATCTCTTGGTGTCAGCAGTTTCCTCTTCACCAGTGAGACGGCGGTCATTGCCTTCACCACAAGCAACACGCTTTTTGAGCCATAGCCAAATCTTTTTAGCTGCCTTGAGAACCTCAAAGCCTCCTTCCTTCCTCATTGAGTTGGGGCTGAAACATTAACAAAATTTAATATATGAGTCTGTAACTTTAAATGAATGATTCATTCATCACAGACTTATAAAGTTACCTGAAAATTGCGAGAGTACCAGCACCAATCCGATCACCCTGCTAGAAAAAAAAAAAAAAAAAATTATAGATTTAGTTAAGTGTGCGAACTAACAAATTGTTAAATAGCACAACAATATGGGATAACTCTGTGGCTCCTATTGTTCAATTCAACAATGAGAATGGGAAATTTAACCAAAAACAAAAACTAAATGCATCAAGGAAAATTGACCTGAATCGGCTTGGGATCAAAAGAAAGCACAACTCCAGCAATTTCTGTAATCCTGTGTTAAACACAAACAAGGCCATTTAAGATACTCCAAAATTTGAATTGTTAAGAGTAGTATTCACAGAAGTATCTTCAAAAATTGATTACCATAAATTACCTCCAAAATATAGCGAGCTACCCAGAGTTCATCACCAGCGGAGATTCCGACAACAGGACCTACCTGAAATTGCCAACATATGAAATATGAAGAATGCTTTAGTTGCTAATTTTAATACCACTAATAAAAAAAAAAAGGATGAATTACCTCCCCTGGCATGGCTTCTCCATTGATAGCACTAATGTTAATTCCTGCGTACAAACAAGCCTTATATTGGGACTCAACAATGTCCTTTGCCCTTTCAGCACCAACAGTGCAGTAGTATGGTCCCTGTTAAGATGAAACAATATCTTGTCACACAACACTTATAAGAAATGTATCAACAATAAATCAAACACAAAACAAGCAAAAAAGCCATATTTATAAAAATCTAGAATTTATAAAAAGACTTTGGGAGCTAATGAACACAAAACGATAGCATGAATGTCAAAACAATTTAAGCAGGAAAGAATAATGCTCTATATACATTGTTGTTCAGGAAATAAAGTCTAGCATTTATCACTCCAAGTGCTTGCAAAGAAGTAACAAAATCATGGAATAAGTGAGAGAAAGAAAACCTGAGGTCCAGGGTAACCACCAACGGGCCAGCCAAGAGGGAACAGGATGTATTCTTGCTGAATATGATACCCAATTAAATAGCAAGTAAAGTCCAAGAAGAAAATATGCAAAACTTGTGAAAAAACCAAAGGTTCAATAATAAATACCGAGGCTCTTCTGCATATCTCTTGTTTTTTGGAATTGGTTGTCCATCAGAATCGTAAGCATCACACATAACCTAAATCAAAACTGATTACATCAGTATTTAGTCAACACAAACAAAAGCAAAACATAGTATATAAAGTAAAACTCACAAGAATGTTGTTGCCTCTTCTGAAGGGATCCTTGAAAATGGCTTGAGGGTTGTTACATCACAAAATATACCGGTGAGAATCTAAGAACTTTAATATAGAAAACTAAACACCAAAAAAGAAAAGAGTTAACCACATGTAGCCACCCAAGGTTTGGCGAATCTGCAAGTTCCCACCCATGATTCCATAAATTCTAGATTCTCACCCTTAAATTAACACTAGTAATGAATTTTGACTTTTGACACGGTTGTAAACAATGCTATTACCATACTGCCTTTGATTACACCGCCAGCCAGCCATCATCACCATCCAACCACCACCTTTCAACACCATCACGACCGAAACCCCAAAATCACCACCACCACCACCACCACCCACCACCATCACAATCCCTCTAAACCCCCAAGTCAGGCCCGCGCCACCAAACAACCACCACAAACCACCACCAAATCATTCATAAATCCAACCGCAAACTCAGCCACAAACCCACCCAAAAACCACCACAAACTCGGCTACAAGCCCACCTACAAACTCATCCAAAAACAACCACAAACCGAGCCCACCACCATTCCACCCATCCACCACCGTCGCAATCCCTTTAAACCCCAAAGTCAGCCCCGCCACCACCAAACAACCAAACAAACCACCACCAAATTACTCACAAATTCAACCACAAACAACCACCCACTCACAAATCTGGAAAATGAACGACGATCGTGAGCAGGAAACGGCAACAGTGCGACTTGAGATTGTAACCGGTGTGTCAAGGGAGAAGAGAGGAGCTTGATGTTGGCGGTGGACAACGGACTCAGCGCAAGCGCAACAAACTCAGGCATGCATCGCAATGGAGAGATGTAGTTGGGAAAGGTGGAAATGGCAATTGTTGGTGGTAGTCCTTGTGGGGGTTTTGAAGAGATGGTGAGAGGAAGATGATGATATGAATTCATGCAACCTCAATTCATATATCACCCTACTTCAACCAATTTCAACTCAACCTAAGCTAGACTTCACTTGCAACACCCTAACAAAATTCAACTAACACTCTACAAGCACACACAACCATTATAACACTTTAGAACAACACCTTTTATCTAGCCTCAATCAACACAAACTCATTCCATTTTGAAATGCACAACACAAACTTAGAACAAAACAAAATAAACCAACCCAAAAAGTGAGATGAATGGTAACTAAGTGAGATTAACTTACAAGATAGATGACCAGGGATCTATCAAGCCTAAAGGAACTCCACCAGCTTGAAAGGTCAATCCACCACCAAGTTTGGCCGAACTTGGGTAAAGGAACTCAAAGACAAAACAATTCTCCAAGGCAAACACTATTCATGCAATATTCAATGTCTAACTTCATATTATGATGGAGTGGCCTTTAAATAGGCTTTACAAAATATGGGAATTACCCTAACAAATATTACAACAAAATATTACACAGAATATTAAGGGGGCGTTTGGTTAAGGGAATGTTGGATTACTGGAAATGTTGGATTATTGGAATCTTATATTACCTTGAATAGAGGAGGAACAAATGGGTCGGGTTAGGCGGGTCAACCCTAACCTAGTCCGCATTAAGAGGGTTCAATCCGGACCGCCTAAAAGCCAGGCCAGGTTGAACCCGACCCGCATATACCCCATCGGGCTGGTCGGGTTTTAATATGTTGACCCAGTGGGTTAAATTTTTTATTTTAAAAAAAAAAATCCTCTGACCTGCCAAGTTGACCCGCGGATTGGCAACCGCCAACCCAGCAGGTTGGATGAAAAAAATTTAAAAAAAAAAATAAATAATAATTTTTTTTGCATTTTCTGGCCCTTAGTAAAGCAGTTGCAGTTCAAAGTTGACCTCTCTTTCTCTGTGGTTTCAATTTTTCTTGGTAACTAGTAGCTTCTCTTAGATTTCTTGGAACCTCCATGATTATTACAAAGTTCCTTCCAATTCGTGAATTTTGCATGCATACATTTATTTTAAGCCACAAATAAAAATTGCAAATTCTATTGGTGCAAAAATCAAGTTATTCTTTTTTAGTAAAATATTTGATCATGCCCATGACAGGTCAAAGGCATGCACATCTTGATGATCCTAGAAGAAGTTGACTCAATTGAGCGTAAAGGATTCCTTGGCCGATTAAAAGAGTCGCTCGTCATAAACAATTTTGATTGTTATGCATAGAAGCAATGGATTTTACCCTTGAAATATAGTCATTTTATAGCAGTTGGAGAGGTCTTTTTTGTCATTTTTTTTTCCCTTTTTTCTATAAATAGGGCCTAAACTCTCATATTTTCTCACATCCCAAATTCTCTCATTTTCTCTAATCTCTATTGAAATCTCTCAATTATTCTCTTTGTTGTCAATTTGCTCTCATTTTAATTTTTATTAGTTTTTGCAATTGTCAATTCACATTTCCAAATTCCAATTCTCCTTCTTTAATTTTTTATTTCTTCTATATCAATTTTTTTTTTTTAACTACAATGGATAGATATTTTCATCCCATCTATTTCGATGATAAGGAAACTATCCTAGTCCCCCTGAATTTACTAACATTTACCAATATAAATGTAGTAGATTCAAATAATCCCGCTTTCCCAGTCTCAGAATCTGATACACCTCATATCAAGACTTGCCTTGGATGTTTTCTCTGTTCCTGTCTCAACCCTCTCATCCGAACAAACATTTAGTGCAAGTGGAAGAATTTTAAATGAAATGAGGACTAAACTTTCAACAAAAATGATTGAAGTCCTCACATATCTTCGAGATTGGGAACGGTCGTGCCATCAACATTAATACTAGGTGGTCAACGATACTTTAATATAATCATTTCAATTTTGTAATATAGATGATACGGATGAGGGAGGTCTTAGTCAACCCCCAAATTAGTTGTTTTATAAATTGCAACTTGTAAATTAATTGTCAATTATTGCACTCTTTTTTCCTTACCAAGTTTTTGTCCCATTGGGTTTTTCTTGGTAAGGTTTTTAACTAGGCAATAATTATTGTAATTTTTTTTTTTTTTTTGATAAATGAATAAATCTAATTTTTCGTATATTAAAATTGAATTAATATTTGAAATGTTATCAAAAAAAAAAAAAATTAATTGAATTATTGATATTTGAAAAGTTAACTAAAAAGTAAAAATAATTACACAAAATAAAAAAATAAACAAAATTATGGGCTAACCCAGCCCGGCCTACATCAAAACCTGTCGGGTTAAGGTTGGCGAGCCGGGCTGGACCAGCCTTTTTGGCCAAGAACAACCCGACCTGCCAATTCCTATAACCCGCTACAGGCCGGACCGAGCGGGTTATTTTTCCACCTTTAACCTTGAAGATTATTGGAAATCTTTAGGAAAATGTGTTTTGTTAGTTGGTGGATATGTTATATTAATATGTTTGGTTAGGGGGAATAAATTGGTAGGTATATTATTTAAATTACTAAATTGCCCTGTTTCTAAGTATTAATATAATATTATTTTTATTATTAATTTTTGAATAATTTCTTTTAACCCCCACTATTTCAGATTTAGCTAAAACACCCCCGCTTATATAAAACTTTAATTTATGACAAAATCACCCCCATCCCTTGCCGCCATCACAAACCACCGCCAGAAGTCTCCAAAAGTATTTGTGAGTAACTCACCGTGACCACGAGGCTTCGATATGGCCGTTTCACGACCATATCAGGCCAGATCTGGACAAGACATGGCTGTTAACCGCCATGGATGGCTAGATCTATTCTTACAAAACAGATATGTTCGTTAACGGCTAGGTCCATGGCCGTTAACGGCCAGATCTCGCCCATATCTGGTAGCTAATGGCTAGGGATCTGGCTGTTAATGGCCAGATCTAGCCTGATATGGCCGTTTTCAGCCATCAATGACACCCATATCGAAGCCTCTCGGAGCCTCCCAGCGAATCTCGATCATTTTCAGGGACTCTGGCGGCGGTCCGTGGTGGTTGGCTAGCTGCTGGCGGTGGTGGGTGGGTGGTGGTGGTGGTCTATAATTTGTTTTAAATATAAGGGCATTATTGTCCAAAAACTTAATTAAACAAGGGTAAAATTGAAATGGTATATTAATGTAAATTTATTTTAAAATAAGGGCATTATTGTCCAAATTTTTTATTAATAAGGGATAGAATTATAACAAAAATAAGATTACATTGGTAATCTTACAATACCTACGAAAATGGAGGTAATCAGAATTACCAACAGTAACAACTATTGGTAATACAAGATTACCGGAATCTTATATTACTTGACAACCAACATGGTAATCAAGTAATATAAGATGACATAACCCCAGTAATCTTCTATTACCTCCAACCAAATGCCCCCTAAGGGATAATTCCTCACCATACAATATCAAAAGTGTTAAGTCATACCCATTTAATGTTATAGACAACCTTTCCTTAAATTAAGGATCTATGTCCCTAATCACAATTTTCTTGATTTTTCTTCAACATTTGAACCAAACAGCATCCACAAGTTGGGCTTGGACCAATGAAGCCTCTTCCCACTTGATCTCCATGGCTTGGGCTACAAAAAAAGGCTTATGCCATGTCTTGGACCCTTAACACCTCTTGGACAAGTTTGTGAGCTTTTTTGAGTGCTCGGGCCGAATGTTGTCCATCTTGGGGCCCTTGAATCTTCAATGAACTCTCTTGCATGTTTAAAGAACATGATGGGCTTGGACACTCATCATCCTCCCTAGGTTGAGAAGGATTTGTCCTCAAATCCGAAAGTTCCCCATCTTCCAAGTGTGGAGACAAGTTCCCAATGTTAAAAGTAGTCGAGACATTACCAAATTCAAAGGGTAAATCGACTTTATATGCATTATCCCCAACTCTTCTAAGGACTTCAAGGGACCATCGGCTCTAAGGGCTAATTTGCTTTTCCTCTTTGAAGGAAACATTGCCTTTCTCAAATGAACCCACAAGGTCACCCGGTTGGAAAATGTTAGGTTTTCTATGTTTGTTGGCTCTCTTCCTATAGGCCTTATTGGACTTGGCTATTTGGGTTTTAATTGATTCATGTAGCTTTTTCATGG